AAAAAAAAAAAAAAAAAAAAAAAAGGAAAATTTTATCCCAAATGGATACAGGAGGATGCTTGGGATGCCTGGAAGAACCGGAATCACGGAGGGAAGGATTGGGAATGGCTGGAATTCCCGGTGAGAATCGCTCCCAACCCTCCCTGCCTGCATCAGCTTCTGGAATTCCTATAAATTTCGGAATAATATCCCTCAAAACAACAACAGAAGAGGAAAAAATAAAAAAGTAATAACCAACCAACCTAACCAACCCTCCCAAAGGAAAAAAAAACAAAAACTTCCCCAAAAGTTTCGCTTTGGAGTCTCTGGGAATCGTCAGGAAGGCCCAAAATTCGCGGGATGAGAAAGAACCAAAGGCGGATTTTTTGTTTGTTTGTTTGTTTGTTTTTTTGTGTCTCTCAAGGTTTGGGAACTACCAACGGTTCCGAAGTCTATTCCAAGCAGAATCCAAGGAAAAAAAGTGGGAATTGTCCCGCAGCAATTCCCCCTTCCCAGCCAAGTTTTGGGAGGCAGCCGATCCTTAAAGAAGAAAAAAAACCAAAAAACGAAACAACAACAACCAACCAAACCAAACTCAGCCGGAGTCGGGAATTTGCACTTTCTTCTTGGCGGAATCGTCGGAATTTTGGGAATAGTTCGGGATGTGCCGCCTGATTTCCCGGCTGGACGAGGAGCAGGGAAAAGGAGCAGCCGTGCACTCGGCTCACTGAACGCAGGACGGGGCTGGAATTCCTCTGTCCACACCCCAAAATTCCGGAATTCCAGAGCGTTCCCGGCAAAAAGTTCGGCGGTGAAGGCAGAGAGAGAGAGAGGAGTCGCTGAGTCCTTTATTATTATTATTAATTTTTTTTTTGTGCTGGTGCCAAAAAAATTCCAAAACTAAATACTGGGGGGGAAAAAAAAAAAAAAAAATTAAGGAATTCTTCCCCCTTTTTTTTTATTTCCCCCTGCCAGCTTCCATGAAAAATCTGGGAGCCGACGGAGGCCGCGGTGACGGGGACGGATGAGGAGTGGTGGTGTCGCATCCTAGAAGAGCCTCGGGGCGTTCTCCAGCTGGGATTTAAAGCAGATTCCACGGAATTGTGGTAGAAAAAAAAACCAAACCAACAAAAAAATAAAAATAAAAATAGAAATAGAAAGGATGGCAGAGCCTGGCCAAGCTGTCCCTGGGGAATCATTTCCACGTGGCCGACTGTGGGATGGAGCGGGGCGGGATCATATCCAGCAGATACTCGCGCTGCCGGTCCACGGCCGAGGCCGATTTGTGCACGGCCAGAGCGGGGCTGACGAAGGGCAGGGCCCCACCTGCAGAAAGGGGAGAAAGGGAATTCCGGAATTAGGGAGATGTGGAATAGCTCGGGAATGAGGGGAAAGAATGAAAACATCCCATGGGAAAGGAAGATTTAAATATGGATTATCCTGCCGGGATTTAGTGCCAAAATCATCCCGATAACAGATTTGTGATCTCTGGAATTCTGGAATTGCTTGGGAATGAGGGGAAATAATGAAAAAAAAAGGCCAAATATTAATGGAAAAGTGGGATTTACATATGGATTATCCCAGTGGGATATGGCGCATTCAGGTTCCAAACCCATCCCAAAAAATGCGAAGATTTTGGATCAAAAATCAGGATTTGAGCTCACTAGAATGAAATTATGAAGTGATGGGTGAAGGTGTTGGGAATAGAATCCCAAGAAATCCATCAGGAAAATTCCCAACAAAATTTTCTTCCTGCCCTTTAAAATTCACACCAACTCTACTTTCCCAACAAGAAATCAACAAACAATTCTTCGCACCACCACACAAATCGATGAATTAACCAAAAATAAACCTCAAATTAACACCGCAACAAACTGATTTTTTTTTTTCCCCACGATCCCAAAGAAAAGCAGTTTTTTGGGCTGCCATACCTGTGTTGATGGGATTTTTCTTCCAGGCTCCTGTGCTGCCCTTGCTGCCCGACCTCTCGGCGTGCTTTCCGGGCCGGCTGCCGAGGGCAGCGCTGGAAGAGGAGCTCTGAATTTTGGGAGAGGGGCTGAAGGCGTGCAGGACCCCTCGGGAAGCGCCAGCACCTCGGGACATCTGGCTGGAGCTCTGGGAAAAAAAAATAAAACCACAGGGACCGAAAAAAAAAAAAAATCTGGGATAAAAAAATTCCAACGGGTTTTTGCGGTCAATAAAGATTTGGGGGTTTTTTGTTGGGTTTCTTTTGGGGGGGGCGATTTGCGGTTGTGGGATGAGGAATTAACTTTGGGATTGGATGATTTTTAGGACTGGATGATTTTTGGGATTGGATTATTTTTGGGGACTGAATTGGCTGATTTTTGGGACTGGATAATTTATGGGATTGGATGATCTTTGGGGGCTGGACAGGGTAATCTTTGGGAGTGGATGATCTTTGGGACTGATTTTTGTGACTGGATGATCTTTGGGATTGTCTGATTTGTGGCACTGGATGCTTTTTAGCACCCACCCTCAACCCAACCTGTGGGCCAAACTCCCCAAAGCCACAACTGAACCTTCGGGACATCTCCCAGCATTTTCCCCGTTTCTGGACGCCGTGGCCGTGCCGGGGTGGGGCCCTCACCTGCTTGAGCGCGTGGTGCTGCCCCACGGGCTCGGCCTTGGGCTGCCCAGGAGGAGCCGTTTGCTGCAGGATCCTCTGCTCGATCTCCTGCTCCTGCTGCAGGGCCTTGACGAAGGCGGCCTTGAGCCGGTTCGTGTGCTCGGCCTTCAGGGCCTTCTTCTGGTTGGAGGCCATGCAGGTCTCGCACATGATGGTGCCGTTCTTCTCCTCCCGCCAGCGGCACGTGAAGTCCGTGTGGCACTGGGCACACAGGTAGGGCTCGCGGCAGGACACGGCCACCGCCACCTTCCCTGAGGGACAAAAACCTGGGATTGGCCACC